CTCAGTGTGTGACCAGGGTCAGGGCTCAGTGTGTGACCAGGATCAGGGCTCAGTGTGTGACTGGGGTCACAGGGCTCACATTTATCCAAGAAAGTCAAAGTTCCCTTAGCCTGACTGTAACTGACCCTGCTCTGTTCCCCTCCTTCTTCCCTGGTCTGTGCCAAGCCTGCATAGCAGAAGCAATGCTTCCCATCCTAGTACTGGCTCTGTCCCCATTGCTTAGCTCTGGGCAACAGGCCAGCCCTGGCAGCCCAGCTACCCAGCCTTTGGCTAAGGGTCAGAACCCTATAGGCTGTCTCCAGGCTGGTCCCTTCCTCACACCCCCACCTGTCAGTGCCTTTCTGATCCCTGCTGTTCTCTGACTGATAGGTCAGAGACTGACAGGTGCTTGAGTTAGGCCCAGGCCAACAGGGAGACCCTGGGTCTGGGCCCTCACCTAGAAGGCTTGGGTGTGGAAACTGCCTCTGATTTGTACAGCTGGGACTCTTGTTTTCTCTAAAGAACTGTTTCCCAGGCCGAGACCACACCATGAAGGCAGCTGGCTGCAGACTATCAGATCAGGCCAGGCCTGGGACAGCTTGGAGGCCAAAACTTACATCCTGGCCATGGGAAGAATGAGGCTCAGAGAAGGGCAGGGAGTAGCTTGAGGCCACTCAAGGAATCAGGGGCACTGGACCAACTCTGGGCCATCCCAACCCCAGTTTGTCTTCTTTCCACCTCAGTTTGTCTTTTCACTGACCCTCTGCTTTACCAAACATGATGGGGACTTGTTCCTCCTAATAACATGTCCTAAGTGCAGGAGACCAAGTCTCACCATCATGAATTCTAAGGAGCATTATGGCTGTACTTCTTTGTTCTTCTGGCAGTCTATGACACCTTGAATATTCTTCTCCAACACCATAATTCAGATGCATGGATTCTTCTATAGTCTTCCTTATTCATTGTCCAACTTTCACATGCATATGAGGTGATTGAAAATACCATGGCTTGGGTCAGTCACACCTTAGTCCTCAAACTGACGTATTTGTATTTGCTCTTTAACACTTTAAAGAGGTCTTGTGCATCAGATTTGCCTAACGCAATACACCGTTTGATTTTTTGACTGCCGCTTCCATGAATGTTGATTGTGGATCCAAACAAAATAAAGTCTTTGACAATTTTAATTTTTTTCTCCATTTACCATGATGGTATTTATTGGTCCACTCGTGAATATTTTTATTTTCTGTACATTGAGGCACAGTCCATACTGAATCAAATGGGTATTTGTATAGTTTGATCTTTGTCAGTAAGTATTCCAAGTCCTCTTGGCTTCTATCAAACAAGGTTGTGTCATCTGCATGTCACAGGTTGTTAATGACTCTTGCTCCAATCCTGATACCACATTCTTCTTCATATAATCCAGCTCAGATTATTTGTTTAGTATAGAGACTGTAGGAGTCCTGGTGCTGCGCTGTGGGTTAATGCGCCAGACTGCAAAGCCGTTTGAACTGCAAGGTCAGTGGTTGAAGCTCACCAGCTGCTCCTCAGAAACCCTGTACAGGGTCGCTATGGGTTGGAACTGACTTGTACAACAACATAGAGATTGTATAAGTATAGTGAAAGAATACATCCCTGGTGCACACTATTCCTGATTTTGAATCATTCAGTATCCCCTTGTTCTGTGCAAATGATTCTTTTCGGCCAATGGATTGATTCTTCATGAGCACAGTTAAGTGTTATGGAATACTCATTCTTTGCAGTGTTATCCATAGTTTATTACAATCCACACAATCGAATGTCTTTGTATGGTCAATAAAGCACAAGGAAATATCTTTCTGGTATTCTCTACTTTCAGCCAAGATCCATTTGATTTCAGCAATGATACCCTCATTCCACATCCTCTTCTGAATCTGGCTTGAATTTCTGGCAGTTTCCTGTCAATGTACGGTTGCAACCATTTTCTAATTACTTCAGCAAAATTTTACTTGCATGTGATCTTAACGACATTGTTCAAAGATTCCCTCATTCTGTTGGCTCACCTTTCTGAGGCCAAGAGAAGAGTGAGCTTCAAATCTAGTGAGGGACTAACATCACCAAGAGACCACAAAAGATGAAATACCCATTGGACATGGGGCTAGGCATGGTGTTCACTTGTGACTTTAGAGAAAGTTGTTTCAGTGGAGAAGTGTGCTCAGATTGGAAGCCAGATGAATGGCACAGATGGAGAGTGGCAGAACCACAAGATGAGCAAGTGAGTCTGCTGCCCAAGTGAACCAGTTGGTCTTGGAATAGTCATGGGCAGGAAGACACAAACTCACTACAATGACTCAAGGCTCATATAAGAGGTGAGGTGGCCAGGCCACAAACAAGGGAAACCACACTTTTGGGCCTGACCCCTCTTCAGCTTCCCACCAATAGGGTCCACTCCCCCTAACCAGGCATGCTCAGTCCCATCAGTCCCTGGGCCTGCCTGCTGGAAGTCTGTAATAATCCCATCAAGGAGGGCAGAGCCAGCGGGGAGGCAGGGACCCTAGGCCTCCTGGCTCTCCACTCTGAGGTGGGGTGGCTGGGACCTCTATACAGTGCAGGAAACTAAGCCAGGCGATTAAGCTTTGTTGTTGTTGTTGTTAAGTGGCTGTAGGGATGGTTCACACGCATCTCAACCCTGTGTAGTTTTCCTAAGTGGGTTTGAATCTTGGACCTTGTTGTTAGCAGTCCAGTGCTTATCCTACAGGACCACAAGCCAGGTTTAGCATGAGCAACAAAAAGATGAGAAAACATGCTTTGAAAGAATGAGACACTAGTGTATTTAAAAAAAAAAATTTTTTTTTAAGCACTTAAGTATTCATCATAGGAAAAATGAAAACTTTAGTAGATTTTCTTATGCTTATTTTATGCTGTTTCTGTGTATTCTTTCCAGGATTCAGGGCCTCTAAGGAACCCCTTTGGGGTTCCTGCCTGGGGCTGGGGGCTAGCACTGAAAGTCCCCTTCAGATCCTGACAGCTGGGTCTCCATTCCTGGAATCCCTCCCTTCTCTGCTCATTTGCATCTCATTAGCACTACCATTAACAGGCCGGCTCCCTGCCCCCTCCCTGGGTGGGATGGTGTGTGCTTCCCACCGCCCCCACACATCCACATCTCCCGCCTCTCTCGGACCCACGCGCCTGGGAGGGGGCAGGACCACGCCTCTGGGAGGGGGCAGGCAGGCTCGGGTGTGCCCAGTTCACCAGACCCTCCACCCAGGTTCTGCCGATTCGGCTCCGCAGCCTGTTCCCATGGCAACGGGGTGACGGCGCGGGTCGTAGTGCCTGCTGAGGAGCTCGGCGGCCGCCCAGCTCCCCGCCCCGCCGCCCGGACTGGATTGGTGATAGGCAGCACCTCCATCTCCCGAGATGATCGGCGATAATTGGTTTATGGAAATAGCTGAGGGGAGAAGGCGCGATCCCAGCTAGAAACCAGCCTTCCAGCCAACCCCGCTCTGTGCCACCTGTCCTTCCGCCACCACGAAAATGGCGTTGGGGGAGGGGAGGGCCGAGGAGTCGGGCTGGTGATGAAGCATTTGAGGCAAGCAAGTGTGTTCACCTGTTGGTCTCCAGCACAGCTTTGATTTCCCTTTCAGTGTATGTGTGTGCTGGGGGTAGGGGCTGTTGCTATAGTAACCAGTGTTTGTCTCAGTCACTCTCTTGACCTATACTGGGGTGCATTGTTGGGGACATAGAAGAGGACACTGAGGTCTGTCCTTGGGTTAGTCCAGTTTGGGGGACAGAGGAAGAGCCCCAGGTCCTAACAGGTGCACATAAAGGATGTCTCTGTAAATTAGTTCGAGGTATGTTGTGGCTGTGAAGTTCCAGAGGAGGAAAAGTAGAACTCTGGTGGCTGCCTGGGGGAGGTGACCTCATGAACAAGGTTTTGAAGGTGTAGGTTGAGAGGGCTTGGGCAAAACCCCTTCAGGCAGGAACTGAAGGATGTTGGGATTAGTGGGGAGGGGAGGCATAGGTAGTTTGGTGGGAAGCACAGGCTCTGGAATGTCTGTCTATTGCAGGAGCTGAGAGACCACAAGCTTGCTGGAGGGGGAGTAGTGCATAGTGCTTTACAATCAAAACTAAGCTGATGTCCAGTGTCCATACTGAGGACTAGCTGGCTGGAGACCGTGTTGTCTCCGTGCCCTTCTGGAAGATATGAGACCTATGAGGTGGCCAGACAGCTCTTGGATACCAGGCTGTGAGAAGTGTGCACTCCAGGCAGCAACTGGGGAGTGGGGACGGTGTGGAGTTGCATCAAAGGACAGAAGGAGTGAAGCCCCCACCACTGGGAAAGTGGTGGGAGTTGGGGGTCAAGGAAGAGGATGGCTGTGAGAACCCTACTCTAGGGTTGAGCATGGTGGGATACGGCACCCAGAGGTCAGGAGAGCCTTGCTCCAGCCTTACTGTGGCCATTACCCCTCACTGAGCCCAGCCTTGCCCTTGCATATAAGGGCTCTGCCCTCTGAGGTTAGAGTTTGACCAAGTTGAGATCTCTTGACATCTTCACTTCTTCAGCCCTGGAGGCTGCAGTCCATGCACCAGTCGGGGAGACAGGGAGGATGAGAAGCAGGCCATACGTTTGCAGAGCCCTGTGCGAGTCCCCTTTGGGTATCCCTGTCCAGTTGTGAATATTTGTGTGCTCATATTCCAAATACCCATACCTGGTCTTTGTCACAGCCCAACACCCTGCCCATCCCCCACTGTCAGCTGGGACTCACACTGTCACGTAGGGCCATGGCTCAGACCCATCTTTGCAGGCAGGTAGGTTGATAGCTCCGTGGAGAGTGACAACGATGGTTTCCTTATTAGAGGGGGACAGGTGGCTGATGCCAGACTCCGTGTTCTGAGAGATGTCCAGGGGCTCCTGTGGGTCTTCAGAGTCCTGTGGGAAGAGCTAGGCCTGAGTGGTCTGTCCTCGTGTGGCCACCTCTCTTAACTGCCATTCTATGGCCTCTGGCTTCCCTCACAGTTCCCCTCTAGTGACTGTCTCCCAATCATTCCCCGACTCAGCCTGGAATTACAGCAGTAGTTGCCTTTGGCCTCATTTTCTTGCTAGCTCTACCCCTCAGTCCCCATCTCTATCTTTCCCTGGCCTCTGTCCCAAGTTCTGCACCCACCACTTCTTGTAGAATGAGGCAGGACCACTTCCCTCTAGGTCTTCTTACCTCCAGCCTGCCCCCTCCAGACCTCCACTCTTGGCTGTAGCCATCTTGTTGTTGTTAGGTGCCATCGAGTCAGTACCGACTCATAGCGACCTTATGCATGGCAGAACGGAACACTGTCTGATCCTGGGCCAACGTTGTTGTTAAGTACCGTGGAGTCGGTTCCGACTCATAGTGACCCTGCATAGGGTTTCCGAGGCTGTAAATCTTTATGGGAGTAGAACGCCTCATCTTTCTCCCACGGAACCGCTGGTAGTTTCGAACTGCTGACCTTCAGGTTAGCAGCCCGATTCGTAACCACTACCCTACCAGAGCTTCTTGGTCAGTCAAAAGTACCATCTCCACTGTAACTCTCCAGCTCAAGAACTTTCCATGCCTCCCTACTGTTGCTGCTCTCTACAACCCTGCCAGAATGAGAGCAAGCTGAAGGGGCAGGAATGCCCCTGTCCCACACCTAACCTCTTGCTCTTTAACATCAGATCATCTCACCTTTCAAGCCCAATCCCACCACTAAGCCTTTGCGTTTGCAGATATCCTTGCCTGAAATCCTGGAATTCCATCTGCTTTTAAGGTCCTAGCAACTGGCCATCATTAATAGATTGTCACCTCACTTCAGACCACCTGTCATCTCTTGTGTACAGCACTTTAAATTTACAAATCTTACCAGTATCCATGGCCACTCAACACATTAATGGAAATTAATGAATTTGTCAGTCCCAGGTACCATCTCCATCATATACCCAGGGAACCTCATGGGCCAGTAGGGAGGACAAGGTGCCCGCTCATACGCAGGGTCTCCTAGGCTGGTTGTCCTAAATAGAAACATGTGCAGGGGTTCAACAGTCATGGGGCCACAGCCTTAAGTACCAGGGTGATATGTGTTGCTGAGAGGAGACAGGCCATGTAGCTGGCTGGGGCAGTCAGGGAAGGCTTCTGGGAAGAGGAGGTGTGGCATGACGGATTGCTTTTAAATGGCCTTTCTTTCACCAAATGATTGGGAGGGGCTATGCAAATAAGGTGCTTGTGGCCTACCAAGGGGATTGGATAGCTTGCTAATAATTCAAATCAGGTATATAACAACCTGGCAGGGGTTGTTGGTGTGTGCTGTCAAATTACTTCTGACTCATAGCAGCCCTGTATAGGGTTTCTGAGGCTGTAAATCTTTATAGGAACAGAAAATCTTTACGGGATTTTCTTTACGGGAGCAGAACGCCTCATCTTTCTCCCATCAAATGGCTGGTGGGTTCGAACGGCAGACCCTGTAGTTTACAACCTAAATGTAACCCACTTAGCCACCAGGGTTCCTCCTCATAGGGGTGGGGCAATGCAAATACAGTGTCTGGAGTCCCAATGAAGTGATTTGTCGGTTTTGCTATTCCAATAGACTTAAAATGAGCCATGCCAGAAGTGGGCAGGGAAAACCTCACTACCGCCAAGGAAGAAGTGGGTCCTGTGCACCTAAGATCCCTGTGCTGAGAACCTCCTAGACCCAGGAGATAGTGCGAGAGCTATAGATTACACCAGAGACGGCAAAGAGACACCAATGAAGAATGGAAGAAAAATGGAGGCAACAAAGGCCGCAGAACAAGGAGACCGGCAGGAAATGGCACTGCAGGCTTCTCAGCCTACAGAGTGATAGAGCTGAATGCCTTTGAGCACGAGACTTCCTCTGATCATTTTTCAGTGAAGCTAAAGATCTTTGTAACACTTTTCCAAGCAGGACAAAGACTGGGTAGGTCCAAGGGGTGAGGGCCGGAGGGCCAGAGAGAGGCCTGCCTGTGGGCACAATGTAGAAGCTGTCTTGACTAAAGAATTAGATCATAAACTTTTCCTGCTCTTGAATTATAATCTGTTATTTCCCTAATAAGGAGCTCTGGGCAGCGTAGTGGTTACGAATTGGGCTGCGTATCGCAAGGTCAGCAGTTCGAAACTAACAGCTGTTCCTTGGGAGAAAGATGAGGCGTTCTGCTCCCGTAAAGATTTACAGCCTCAGAAACCCTGTAGAGCGTCACTATGAGTCGGAACCGACTCCACGGCACACAGCCACCACCACTTCCCTAATAAACCCCATAATTGTATTGTCTGTGAGTTCTGTATGGCCATTTCAGTGAGTTATTGAACCCCAGCAGAGAAGTAGAGTGCTGTGCGGGGGGACAGGTGATGTCAGAACAGGTAAAAAGATTGGAGAAAGTAGGCATGTTTGACCTCAACTTCATAGAAATCCACCTTGGACTGATGCTGATGGTGATTCTCTCTCCCCCTTGTGAAGTTAGAGGGCATCAGACATCCCCTGCCACACTCTTTTAACAGGAGACCTTAAAGGTTGGGAGATGCTCCATGAAGGCAGTTGGGGAGACAAACCAGAGAAGAGAAAACTGGGAGTGAAGCAGGGTGGAGGGGCTTTCTGAGGCTCCAAGGAGGCTGTTGGACTTTAGATGTAGTAGAGAGAGAGTAAGAGAAGGTGGCAGAACTGAAGATGGGGGGCAGAGGGGTGTTTCTGGGGAATAACCCTTGCCCCTCCTGCTGGTTAATCAGTACCAGCTATGTGAAGGGCACAGAGGCGGTTAGACGGGCTGGCTTTTGAATCTGGAGAGCCCAGCCTCCCACGCTTAGCATTCCAGGTCAGGCCCTGGTCTGGTAGGAGTGTCTTCATAGTGGTAAGGGCCCATGGAGACCCTTGAGAACACCGATAGGAAGACTGAGGCCCAAAGAAAAGTGAGGTCCGTATCCTTGTGAGGGCTTTGGCCCTGGTGGCACCAGTAGAATACTGGGTCTCTGGCTCAGTCTGGCCAACTCTTGAGGGGCACTGAGTGTCTAGAGACCTGGTTATAAACCAGCTCTGCCCAGGATGTATGGGATGAGAAGAGGAGAGGGAGGGAGGGGAAGATAGAGCACAGGGTAGGGAATAGACATAGGATAGCTTGGGGGCCAGTGGTGGTGGTGGTGGGGCAATACTCAAGAACAGGGAGGAAAATGGAAAAACAAGGCTGATGGGAGAACAGTTAGGCAGATTCACATGGGCTAAGTGGGACAGAGATAAATGATGATGTATGCACAACCTTGGAACAACAGGGCTCCGTGATACAGGGATTGAGGCATGGTTTGAAGGGATAAAAGAAGGAAATAATGTTAAGATGCTTGGCTGTCTTTTGAAACTTGGTTTCCCTTGTCTACCATTGTAAAATAGACACTTGAGGGGGGGAGAAAGGAATAGCCAGAATCATCACTACAGAAAGCTTGTAAGTCCATCTTCAGCCTATAATTGATTGGAATACCTTAAAGGGGGCTAGAAGTTGCCCAGTGAAAGAGGCTTCTTGTGGATCCTTTACATTGCACAAGACCATAGGTGGAATCTAGAACTCCATCCAGAACCAACTGAGGTAGGAAATATCCACTGGAAAGGATGAGTAGACCAGCCTGGAGAGGCTAGAAGAACAGAAGATACTTGGTGAAAGGAAGTCTGGCAGGAAAATCAGAAACAATAATGGCAGTCTGATTGATTACTACAAGAACAAGTAAGCTGTTCACCTGGGAGCCATCAAGGCAAGTGGTTGGGACCCCTCAGAGCAAACCCCCGTCCAAGACTGAGACTCAAGGGCAATACATGAGCAAGCATGTGGTCTGGCTGGTGACCATGTTGGTCACCGATAAGGGGAAGAGGGGGAAAAAACAACAATGAAGTTGTGAGCTAAGCCCGACCACATTCAATAGTCCCCTGTGAACCCGGGTGGAGACCTGAATGGCCAGCAATATGGCAAGACCCCCCAGTGGCAGTGACATGGCCACAGGGGACTAAAGCAGAGAGTGAAGCGTCCAGCTGATATAAAATGAGGGGAGATGCACAAGAACACCCATACTTGCAGATAGTACCCATCTGACCTGGCTTTGATGGCTGGATGATCAGAATTCGACTAGAAGAAGAAAGAAGGGGGGTGGGGCGGGAAGAGTAACCTGCTACGATTTGATGAACTTTACGTATACTTATGGATGTGGTAGCTCAAAAAAGGGAACAAATCTTTACAGTGAGGATCACTCCCACCCCTCGGTACACAGGGTTGACAAGGATTGGCAACTTAGAAATTGGCTACCCAAAATGGGGAGGCCTATAAAGGCAAGAAGTAACTGGCTTACAAGCTTTCAAGAGGGAGCCTAGTTCCAGATGGGGTGGGGGAAGGTAGAATCACCACTGAATGATTTCTAATCTGTAGGGACCAGGCTGGCGAAGGAAATGGGGATAAGACTCTTGTGGTACAATAGTGAATAATTGCCATCAGGACTGACTGTAAGGGTAGGAAATATAGAGGTAGACAAAAGGAGGAGAGGTCTTTGTCAATTTTGCAGAGGTCCCTGGGACCATCAAGTGAGAAGAGTGGAGAGCAGGACCCTACCCAGAGAGGCTGTGACGCCAGTGATGGAGACAAAGACAATGACGTGGACAGATGGAGAGGCTAGGGACACTGGACTCAGGGAGGGAGAGGGGCTGTGTGCTGGCAGCTGGGGGGGTGGGCCTGTGTGGTGTCACCTTTGGGGTTATATGATGATGCATGGAGGGGATTGTAATCAATGCAATGAAACGAAATACGATAGGATGAGTGTAAAGCTGATGTTCTCCCATGTAAACCTCACAATAAAAACTTAAAAAAAAAAAAAAAAATCTTGTCATTGGCTTCTGCTTCACTCAGAGTTGTACCCTGGTGCATGAGGCCCTAG